ACAAATGAAAACCCTGTTACCGAGACCGCTATTTCCCAGGGTCACTGAAGTTCTAGAAAACGCATTAAGGAAAACAAACATAATGTATGTGGATTAGGAAGGAAGAGCGGAAACTCTAATTTTGCATATGGGCGCACGCTAGGATTGAATACGTGGAAAATCCAGAAGTTACGAAAAGTATCAAGAGAATAAAAATCCTCCTGGTAAGGGCGTCGGGTGCAGGATGGCTGCTTAAATGCCATATGCGTTTCTTTACATCAGCAACAGACACTTAGGAGAGAAAACGTTTCTCACAGAAACATTTACGATAGCATGAAAATCAAATATCTGCAAATAAATCTCACGGGTTCTGTGTGAGACCGCTACGCAGAGAACCATAGCGCATTCCGGGAGGGCTTCACAGAGCCTGAAAGAAGATTTGAGAAACTCGGTCTTATGAAAATGTAAATTCTTCCCAATGCCTCCCTATAGATTTAATCAAAATCCTAGTAGTTATTTCCCCCTGCTTGATCCGTTCGCCAATTAAATGAATGCCACAAGCGGAATGGCCATGAAAGCCTTGAGGAAGGTGGGTGAGAGAGGCGTCGGGGTGTCCGGCTCACGGTAAGGCCACAGTGGTTCTGATTGTGGTACCGGTTCAAGGTCAGGCAGCCCTGCAGGAGCGGACAATCCGTGCACCACAGAGACGGCCGCGAGGGCAGCCGTCCAAACCCTAGATTAGAGGAAGCAACCAGCAGAGAGAGAGGCATCCGGACGACGCGAGTCCTATCAGCAAAAACATTCATCAGGCAAGAGAAAGCTTGTGAATGAGACTTGATGACACAGAATCGCGTGACTTTGTGGAAAGACCGTGCAGGTGCGGACGCAGCCTGCAGTGACCAGCAGCGGAGGCCGGAGCGGCCCCCTCTTCCCGCGGCTCCGGTGGCCGCAAGCCTTCTGCAGACGGAAGGACCCTTCTGTTTGTCGCTCGCGGTGGGCTCGTCTGGCGGTTTGGCGAGCTCGGCCACGTGGGACGGCAGCGAACATCTCCGTGGGTCCCCAGCACTGACCTCCTCAAGCCCTTGGAATTTCCTGGGTGACAGGAGCATCCTCTGTTCTACTGAGGTGACAGGCGGTTTGGGCCACCAGACAGACCGGACCTGATTAGAACCCTCAGCCCGCACCCCACCCCCAGCGCGCGTGGAGTTAATGGTCAACGGCTACACGGAGGAGCCTCCGTGAACGTCCCGGAAGCACGGGGTCCGGGCGGCTCTGGGCTGGAGGACACGTGCGGGTGTGGGGTGAGGGCGTGGGGGCTCCACGCCGCTCCCACACGCCTCCCTCTGGACGTTCATCTACATCCTCCAGGGCGCCCTTTCATCACATACGCTGGGGAGAGTAGGTGTGCCGTTTTCCTGAGCCCTGTGAGCAGCTCTAGAAAGTGGGGGGTGCCCGGGGGGAGGCGGGCAACTCTGGGGTACCACCCGCTGGGTCTCCGTCCCCCTTTGCAGTTATGACTGTTCTGCAGGACGGCCTTTCTCGGACGAAAGACCACCGTGCCCGCCGAGCACAACTTATTTACTAGTCTCCACGTGGACTCAGTCTCCTCTTCCGTTCAGTGGATCTACCCTGAGGCCCAGCTGCCCCTGATTTGGCAGGAGAGGGACGTGAATCTCTTGGGCCTTTGCTTCCGTGCCCTGGGGCCCCGGGTCACGCCCGCAGGTGCTGCCTGCGGCCAGCAGTCCCCATGGGGCCCGATCCCTGCAGGGGGCCAGTGACCTTAAGAGCCAATATCTGCGTGACAGTGAGCTTGGTGTTTGGGAGCTGCTGGGGGGCTTGCAGACCATCCTTGGGGAGGGCTGGGGGTGTACGGGTTCCCCTAACCCCACTGTGGCTCCTCTCTTTGCCCCACTCCACTTTTGTTACAGGCTCCCATCAGCCTTAATATAGGTAATTATGGAGAGGTGCCTGGGTGGCTCAGTCAGTTGAGGGTCCGACTTCGGCTCAGGTCATGGTCTCACAGTTCATGGGTTCGAGCCCTGCGTCGGGCTCTGTGCTGACAGCTCAGAGCCTGGAGCTGCTGCAGATTCTGTGTCTCCCTCTCTCTCTGCCCCTCCCCCACCCACGCTCGGTGTTTCTCAAAAGTTAATAAACATTAAAAAATATATATGTAATTATTTGACCAAATCCAGTATCTGGCCCTCTGTCATCTTCGCTGACCCCCACGTGTGCACCTGCCTTCTTTCCACAGACCTGTGGCTACAGCCTCCCCGAGCCCCTCTCTCGGGCGCAGCACCGCGCATGGGCCCATCTCACTCTTGTCCATGGGGTTTCTTGTGGGGACGTTCTCTTCTATGCATTGTGCTTATTTTCAACAAATAAAAGGCTAAGTCCCCGGGGAAGTCGCAAACGAAGCTGTGCATTTGTCAGCCTGCTTCCATGCGTACATGAAAACATGTGTTAATGCACACTTGAGTTCTCTCCACCGTGGCATCCGCGGGCACGTGTGTCTGAGTGCTCAGACATCGTGCAGAGAGCTACCGCAGGCACGACCCCGCGACACAACGACTTCTGGAGTCCAGAAACAGAACTTGATCCACCTGCCGCCACCTTGTGTGCCCTGAGTCGGCAGACGCGTCGGTGTCTCTCCGTGCACCCCTTCCCGCGTCCCGGGCAGAAGGCCCCAGCTGATGAAGACGGTGGTAGTTGTGACCATATTGAAATTAGACACTTGTGTTTATTAGAAGATGCCAGACAGTGAGGGCCTCCGAGCGGGGCAGGGCCTTCAGGGGATGGAGGGGGGACGCGGGCAGAGCCACCTGGGTGCCACTAAGAAACCCACAGCCCCATGGGAAGGATGTGCTCAAGGTGAGACAGGCGTTTGGCAGGGGGACGCCCAAACGGCCGGAAGCATATGAAAAAGATGCCCATAAGCATGGGGGGGGGTGGAAACTGAAACCACAGGGAGACCCCTGCCCCCCACGCCCTCCCCAGCTGAAAGGAAGGGGGAGCACACTGGAGACCCCCGCCCTGCTGCCTTCAGGCCCCGCTGGCCGGGCTCCAGGAGCCTCTCCATGTCCTTCAAACCACCCAGAGCCTTCTGCAGCCCAGCAGGTGCCTCGGTGGGGCAGGCGGGGGAGGGGACCGTGGCTCTTCTGCACGGGAGCCGCCTCCCAGACCCACCTCCGTGAAGTGGGCTTGAGCCAATCTCAGGGGGGCCCTGCGGCTGGCCGTGGCCAGGGCCCTGCTTGTACCGTGCCCCCCACCTCCCGTCTGAGAGGGCGGTTGCTATTCTGTGGGCGCAGCGGTGCTCCGGAGATATCTCCACGTCCAGGAGGGGACCCGATGGCCTGAGACGAAGAAGGAATATCCTGCACCTTTCCAGCATGCAGCGAGGGTCAGGCTGCAGCGGCGGCTGTGGTTCTGACAAGCGGATGGTGGGACCTGGAGAACTCGGGGCCACTGTGGCCAAAGTAAGGGAAGCTGGGGACGAACCGCAGGGACCGTCCCCGTCACACAGGCGCACGCGCGCCGCCCCCATCACACGGGCACATGCGTGCACACGCTCATGGCCAGCACCAGGCTTCTTAAAAACTTTTTTTAATGTTTATTTTTGAGAGACAGAGCATGAGTGGGGGAGGGGCAGAGAGAGAGGGAGACAGAATCTGCAGCAGCTCCAGGCTCTGAGCTGTCAGCACAGAGCCCGACGCGGGGCTCGAACCCATGAACCGTGAGACCATGACCTGAGCTGAAGTCGGACGCTCAACTGACTGGGCCCCCCAGGCGCCTGCCCCCAGCTGACCTCAGCCACACCGGTCCACTTGCCCAGGAAGACCCCAAACACCTCACCCCTGCACTGAGCCCTGCCCCCCGCTTGACCCCCTCCCAGGGAGATCGGAGGGGAGCCCCAATCCTGGCCCCGCATCCACACACCCGCCCCTCACCCAGCGCCTCTGCCTCCGTCCTGGGTGAAGGGGGGAGTATCTTCTGCTGCCCAGACCGGCTCCATCTTCTCTGACACTCATGCCCTCATCACCCCTCGGCCCCCTGGCCTCCCTCCCCGGGCTCTCCATCCCTACCACCCCCGAGCCCCGGGCTTGGCACCCTGCTCTGACCACATCCCCATCGCTCTTCTCCCTTCGCGGCCACCTCCCCACCCCTCCAAGCACACCTTTCCGCCCCTTCCTTGCCTCCTTCCTCCATCACAGTCCCCTAAACGCGATGGGCGCCTCTGGCCTCTCCCTCCTTCACCCCCACACTCTGCTTTCCGGCTGGGATGCTCCTTCTTCCTGCCTGCCTTGCGGAGGGAGGTGGTATTCCCCGGGCTCCATGCCGGCTGCCACCGCCGAGACCCTCTGCCTCCACAGGGCTCCTCCCGAGGTCCCCATGTTAGCACACAGCCCCGGCCAAGTGGGACACGGAGGCCCCCCTCGCTCCTCCCGCCCGCCTCACCGGCACATCCAGACCATCACCAAACTCTCTCATCCTCAGCCCTGAGACTCAGCGAATGCCCTCTGCAGCCGCCCCAGCCCCGGCTGGCACGGTTCCCACTTCCGTGACAGCCTGTGCCCTCCCTTGTCCCCCCTCCACTGCCCTCAAAGCCCACAAAGCATGCCCGGTCCCTCCCCCGTGAAGCAACCCCCTGGTCTGGGGGTGAAGTCTGCACCTGAGCTGCCCAGACATCCCCCCGTTTCCCAGACAAGCCGTCACCTGTGCCACGAGGACTCAGCTCCCTCCCCGGGAACGCGCTAGTTTTCTTTGCTCTAACGTACAGCCGGCGGGCAGCTCTGTTCATGCAGCCTAATCCTCCAGGGGACTCGTGTTTGGGGCACCCTCTGCCAAAGCCCCCCTCAGTCCCCTTGCATCTTGGGCAGAAGACCACCAGGTCACAGAGCAAACCTTCCCCAGCAGCGTTAGCGTTGGGGGGCCTGGACCACCAGGCGGCGCCTGAGCGGGGTCCCCAAAGCTGCCACCTTCCCCCACCACCCATGCCCTGCTCAGCTGTGGGACAGAGGCTGGGCTGGAGCTAGACAGGTGTTTTATTGAAAGTTCACAGATACAAGAGCTCTGAGCAGGGTCTTGGCTTGGAGGAGGCGGGGTCGGAGAGGAGAGAGTGAGTCCCCAGATGCTGGCAGCCCCCCCAAACTGGAAAGCTGCCACAGAAGCCCTTCTTGGTGGGTGTCGGGTGAGAGGGGCCCCGGGAGCCTGAGTGGGGCGCAGGAGGGCGGGGAGGGCAGCCACTGGAAGCCAGGGTGCGGCAGCACAGGAAGAAACCCACGGACCCCAGAAACAGGCAGAGGCAGGGGGGTGGGGGGCCAAGAGGGTGGGCGGCCTGAAGCTCGCTGCCCCCTTACTGCGAGGAGCTTCCGACGGCCTCACTGCCTGGCTCACAGCTTCAGGGGGGCTCCAGGGCACGTGCCCTGCTCTGCCCCAACCACACCGGGTCCCACATCACATCAGTCACGAAAACGAACGCGTCGCAGTGCTTCGTCTCCACGGCCGGCGGTGCCCGGCGGGGTCTCAGTAGTCGGTGAGTGGGTACCGCAGGAAGATGAAGACGAGGATGATGCAGGAGGCGGCCAGGGCGGAGCTGGTGATGTTGAACAGCCGGGCTGTCTTGGCGTCTTCCACCGCTCCATTCAGGTCATTGAGAAGCTTCTTGTCCCGAACCTGCAGCAGGGGGAGGAGGTGAGGCCAGCGGCCAGAGACAAGGAAAAGGCAGATACGGGTATGGGGAACCTCTGTGCAAAGGGCACCCAGGAATTCCTTGTGTTTCTTTTTTGCAACTTTTCTGTAAGTCTGAAATTAGTTAAAATAAAACAGGATTGTTTAATAATACTGTATTATTTGATTGGAAGTTGCTGAATTAACGGTGGGTGGTACCTGGGTGGCTCAGTCAATTAGGAATCCAACTCTGGATTTCAGCTCAGACGATGATCTCGGGGTTCATGACTTCAAGCCCCGAATAGGGCTCTGTGCTGACAGTGCAGAGCCCGTCTGAGATTCTGTCTCCCTCTCTCTCTGTCCCTCCCCTGCTTAAGCGCTGTCTCTCTCACTAACAAAATAAATAAATGAACATTAAAAAAAAAAAGAAAGAAAGCTGGTGAGAGCAGATTGTAAGTGTTCCTACCACCAAAACCCCAACAAACCACAAAAACAATAATTATGTGAGATGATGGATGAACCCTGTTCTTAGGATCATCTTGCAGTATGTACGTGTATCAAATTGCAACGTTATGCACGTTGGACTTCTACAACACTGTATGTCAATTGTATTTAAATAAAGCTGGAATCAATAAATGAATACATAAGATAAAGGAGAAAGTTGGCCTCAGAGAGTTATAGGATTAGACAGTGGAGGATGTAAGTGTGCTCTAGTCTGAGCAGGCTCCCTAATCTAAAATTCACAGGGATTACCTAAGAACAGGCCCTAGAAAGAACAGGCAGTGGGCCCCGTGGTCTCTGGGAAGGGATGTTAAGATACAGAGAAGACAGTGGGCAGAGCTTGACCCATTTCCAAAATTCTTTGGTTGTAAAGAGATGTTCCCAAGGATAAATGTTAGGGTTTCCCTCTCTTCAGCACTTTCCTCTTCCACAAAGTCCAAAGAAGTATGGTTGAATATGTGGATGGATGAGAAGGGAGGGGAAATAGAAAAAAAATGATAGCGCATAGATCATATGGGTGGATGAGATGACATAAGGGATAATAGGGAGAGAGTGAGCAAGGGTGAGTGTGAGGACAGGTACATGACGAATGGATGCATGTGGCTCAACTACAGGAGCAGTGGGAAGAAGGGATGGTGGCTGGCTTGAAGGATGAATGGATTTATTGATGTGTTGGGTCAGAGGATGGATGGAAGGCTGACAGGTAGAGTTGGTAAGTGCAATGGTGAAAGTTACTGGGGGAAAGGAAGGCTAGATGAATAGTTAAGTGAACTGATGGACAAAATAGGTGGGGATGAGATGGGGAGGAGTACGGAAGGAAGGAGGAAGCACAGTGAACATGTATAAACATGGATTGATGGAGGAATGAGTAACCATTTGGATGGGTTGAAGGGAATAAAGGAGCAGGAATCGATGTACAAGGGATGCTGAATGGATGGGTGTGTGGGTGGATGGATGGGTGGATGGATGGATGGGTGGATGGATGGATGGTGTGAGTGGGTAGGTGGATGGGTGGGTGGGTAAAATGATGGATAGTTGGAAGGAAGGATGGATGGATGGATGGAAGGAAGGATGGGTGGATGGATAGGTGTAAGGGTGGGTGAATGGATGCATGATGGATGGTGGATGGGTAGATGGGTGGAAGGGTGGGTGGATTGATGGATGGGTGGATGGAAGAATGGATGGAAGGATGGTTGGATGGGTAGATGGATGGGTGAGTGAATGGGTATGTGGATGGATGGGTAGATAAAAGGATGGATAGATGGATGGTTGGATGAGTGGATGGATGGATGGATGGGTGGGTGGATGGATGGATGGATGGATGCATGGATGGATGGATGAATGGAAGGATGCATGGATGGATGGATGGGTGGATGGATGGATGCATGGATGGATGCATGGATGGATGAATGGATGGATGCATGGATGGATGGACGGATGGATGCATGGATGGATGGATGCATGGATGGATGGATGGATGGATGGATGGATGGATGGATGGATGGATGGATGGGTGGATGGATGGATGGATGGATGGATGGATGGATGGATGGATGGATGGATGGATGGATGGATGGAAGGATGGGTGGAAGGGTGGGTGGATGGATGGGTGGGTATATGATCTTGATATTCAGAAAGCAGGTAGTGGGCAAATATGTACATACAAAAACTGGCACAACATCTCCCCTCCTAATCAATTTGGTTGATTTCCCTGTCACTGGGAAGTCCACAAGCTCCCGGGCCCGGGCAGAGCAGCCGCCATATCATTATACCTGCCCTCCTCCCCTGCCCACCATCCCTGCCCTGGTTCAAGCCATGTGCCCCCTTTACTGGGGACCACACTGGGACCCTAACTTTTCTCTGCCTCTGGGCTTCCCTTGTCCTTCTTCCTCCACACTGTTGCAGATTTTATAGCTCTGGTCGTATCTTTCCCTTCTTCGTCTTCCACGTAATGAAATCCAAACCCTCACATATTTTTCCCAATCCTTCACTGCATGGCCTGAGTCTGGCTTTCCAGGACTATCATCTCATTCCCCTGAGAAGATGGGGCCTTGCAGTTCCCCCCAGATCGCCCCACCCTCGTGTCCTAGTTTATGTCTGGAACACCTGTCACCTCACCCATCCTTCAAAGCCCAGTGAAGATGATGCTTCCTCCTGGAAATCTCCCGCACTTGACTCCAAACTCATCCCAAACCAGGAATGAAGTGTTCTTTTTCTGAAACACTGTGGTACGTATTTCATCTTGAAGGTGTCCTCTGTTCATCCACCCCTGCACCCAGCACTCTGACCCCTACAGTGGCCAGTTTGCCTTGGCACCAACAGGAAGAAGGGATGGGTCTGGTTGGGTGGGCAGCCACTGGGGCGGGGGTTCTCTGATGGGAAGTGGGGGCTCAGCCAGAGTGAGTCAGTGGGGTCTTTGTGGGTGGAAGAGCTGTATCTCACAAAAGCCCTCAGGCTGAGGGCGCAGCACATCACAAACACAAGTGTGCTCACAGAAGGCGTGGGGCGGGGTGCATCTGGGGAGTAGTCGGCCGTCACCATGAGCAGCCCGTGTAGACTCGTGAATGGAGAACTGATGTCCCGTGTCTCTGTCCTGCTCGTGAGGCTCAGCAAAATAAGGCTGCGATCTGCGTGTTGCAGACCCAGCTGGCATCGAAGTGGACTGGCGCACCTGGGTGGGGAGGGTGGACGGACAGGCCACCGCACAGACAGGGGCACGATGTCTGTTTCACACCCACCGAATGCCAGCCTCTGCCCTGCTCACGTGTGCTTACTTGGGTGTTGTTTCACTTCAGTTTGTTTTGTGAACAGATGAAGGAATCAGCTCAGAGGAAGGTGGTTTGTCAAGAGCTCACTTCTCTTTAGGGACCAAGCTGGGAATTTAGCCAAGGCCTTCTGACCCCAAGTCCATTAGGTGCCCTTGGAAGGGCCCATGACTGGCTGCAAACAGGGCAGGGTGCAGCAGGCCGGAGACATGCAGCTGGATGGACAGATGGACACGTTCCCAGGTGCAGCAGCCCGAGCCAGCCGCTTCTGTGCCCCCTCTGCCCAGGCCAGAGACAACTGACCTTGCACACTCCTTCCCTGGCTGGTCCCGAGCCTTCCTGCCCTGGCTGGCCCCCAGGAAGGACGGGGGGAGCGGCCCCAGGGGGGAGGCAGAGTGAGCTCTCTCTTGCCCCTCAGAAGGACTAATTCCTACCCACCCCCCATCACAGCACAAGTGCTGCACCATTCAGAAATCTGTGACCTACCTACAACCTGCACCAGATGGGCCTGCCCGGTGCCAGCCGGCGCCCGCAGCCGGGCTGAGGGGAGGAGGGGACAGCTTCCGGACAGGAGCCCACGCAGCCGGACCCGTGTCCACAGGCCATTGTCGGGGCACCGCAGGAGGGCCCCAGGGGAAACAGAGCCTCACCAGCTGCCCCCACCACTGGGCCCTCTGCTTGGCCTGGAGTTGGCCTGGGGGCCGCCACCCCTAAACCCTCAGGACCCTTCCCTGTGTGCTTTCACAGCACACACGTGCACACATACTTATGCACATACACGCACACATGCACACCGCTCACCCACACACTCACAAATATGTGCACACTCATGCAATGCAATTAAGTACATGCACACCCACACCTGTATACACTCGCACACATGCACACCCATACACACGCACACTCACTTATATACATGCACACATTCAAGCCCACACATAACATGCTCACATGCACAAATACACACACTTATGCACACTCACATCCACACACACCTGTGCGTGCACATGCAGACACTCGTACACATGCACTCATACCGACATGGGCACACACATGCATCCATGTACACTCACACACACTCACTCACACCACACAGGTCCCCCGTGGCGGAGCCCAGAGCTCCGTGCACGGGCCTGGAGGCGAAGGTGTGCCTGGCAGTGGGGGGTGCTGACGATGAGTCAGGAGGTCGGGAGCCAGGCGGCCGGCCGGGGCGTGTGATGCCAGGGGCAGGGGTGGGGCTCGACGATGCGGGGAGGCAGGGCTGTGTCCAGGCTGCTGCCCTTCCCCCCGGGGGCCAGCCTCCCTGGCCTAGACTCTCCTCTCCCTGTAGCCCCCAAGTCCCACGGCCGCCCACCCCACTCTCCCCACCTCACCGGGCAGCTGTGATCAGTGATGTGCACCTGGCTCGGACACGCGAATCCGGAGACAGTGACATCTGACTCTACAGGAACCAAGCCTTCCCAGAGTGACAGGGAGGTGGGTCCTGCTGCCTGGGCTCCAGCCCCGGCTCTTCAGTCCTGACACACCTACATGGAGCCTCCCATCGCAGATGTGAGTGGGTCACAGCCCCGTTTTGCAACCTGGGTCCATTTCTTTCCACTCTGCCCCAGGGACATGGGGTCCTGTCTGCCTGGCACCCTGCTCTGCTCCCAGCCAGCTCCTCTCCCAGCAGCGAGGGGCTTCCGGAAGTTGTATGCATGCAGGGTTTGGGGCCATGTTTCTGCCTCTCTCCCTCTGGCTCCCCCCGAGCCCCTGCCACCGGCCACCAGGACAGACATCTAGAAAGAGTGTGGGAGAGGGAAGGTAGAAAGCAGTGACCTCAACCACCATGATCAGAGACCCTGGCAACCGTGGCCTCCTCCGTGGCCACCTCCTGAACATCTGCCTGGTTTCAGGTTCCCTGTGAGGGGCTCAGAGAAGGATGTCTCCATGCTGTCCTGCTGACAGGGGAAGGATGCCGGGGTCTTCATCTACGTGCTGACTCCACCCTGCGTGCCCAGCGGCAGCTCCGTCCCAGTGTAACCCCCATAGCCCAGAGGACAGGACTGAACCCCGGGTCTGCACCTGGAAGACTCAGCTGGCTATGTAGGGAACCCAGCCCTGTGGCCCCCGAGCCCTGTCAAGACACCCTGGAAGCTTCCACAGCCCAGGATGGGGAAGGGCAGCCCCTCCCTGCCGGCTCAGAGCTGGCCGGCATCCACGTATGTCTGGGTCCCATGAGGCGGCCCCCCTGCCTGTACCCGCTCCTCTGCCCCACACCCCCCCGCCCCTGCCCAGCTCACTTTGAGGGAGTAGGCCAGTGCGATGAAGCCCAGGCAGCAGAAGTTGAGGTAGACGAAGTTGAAGATGGACCACAGGTAGTAATCATTGACCTCGGTGGCGTCTGGGTAGACTTCGATGACGGTCGTGGGGTTCGTCATGGTCTTCTTCTCGGCCAGGTGTTTGCAGGCCTGGGGGGCGCCAGAGGCCCGCATGCTGTCCGTCTTGCTGCCCTTGGATTCCATGGGGAACAGGGTGGGCGCCATGGGGGGGGATGCTGAGGGCTCAGGGGCCGGGGCCGCTGGAGCCTGCAGGGCGGGGGGCTTGGACACGCAGGCAAAGCAGCCCTTCGGGGAGCCTGCCGGGGGCCTCGGGATCCAGAAGGCCCCGTCCAGGGGGACTCGGGCTTCCTGGGTGCCGTCCGTGGTGCTGGCCGGGGCTCCCAGCGGGGCTGGGCACTGGCCTGGGCCCTGGGCCTGGAGGGAGGGGAGAGGAGGAGTGAGCTGGGTCCTGTCCTCCCTGCAGGGCTGGTGTCCCGCAGCAGCAGCAGCAGCAGCAGCAGCAGCGTCTCCCCTGCAGACTCGGAGCAGCCCCGGAGGAGCTGGAAATCCCGCCGCCTGCTCCCCCACCCGCCCTGGCACCCGGGTGCCACAGCCCTTCGCGGCAGCCTTGGCAGGGACACAGGGGCTTTTCATCACTTTGCCATCTGCGCACAAACATTCACCCACTGACACACAACGCCCTCCCCCCGTACCCAACAACGCCCCAACCGACACGCTGTTGCAATAAACACAGCACGCCAGCATCCCAAACAGCCTGGCACTCGCACAGGGCATGCAGACCCACAGTGACGGAGTCTCGGCCGCCATCCGGCAGAGTGAGCCGCGCTCTCTCGCCCCCGCCCGCGGACACCCTGACACACAGGCTCTCCAGACCCTGGGCTCGCACGGCGCGGAGATGCCCGGCAAACAGCCCTGCCCTGTGACACGCAGCCTGTACACACACGGACACAGGGATGGACGCGGGCCTGCAGGGGCTCCAAACTAGCGAGCGCCGTCCCCGCCCCCAGCCCCGGCCCGAGCGGCACCGGCCGGAGCGCACGCTCGCGGGGAGCCACCCAGCCGGTGCCACGAGCCGACGCACAAGGACACTCTGCCGCGCGGGCACTCCTCCCGCCCTGCGCCCCTCGGGGGCTGTGGCCACCGCCCCGCGGCCCGGACGGCGCGCCCTCACCTGCTGGCGACTCCTGGGCGGGCGGGGCGACCCCTGCGCCGCGGCCCGCGCGTCCTTCCCCGGCCGGCGCCGCGCTGTGTGCCCGGCCGCTCCGCGTCCCGGCGGCCCAGCCTCGCGGGGGGAGCCGCTGTCCCCGCGCCCGGCTCCCTCCGCAGCGCCAGGCCCCAGCCTGACTCACGGCGCCGCCTCCTCCTGCCCGCAGGGTGGGGGCCGCGGCACCGGCCGGCCGGAAGCCGGACCCCTGGGAGGAGGGCGCGGAGCCGGCAGGGGCGGGGTGTGGGGAGCCTCGGGGATGGGTCCTCCTACACCGCCACCCGGTGTGCTTCCGTCTGCCCCAGTCTCTCCAGGAAGGAGCCCTTCATCTCCTGCGCCCCCCCCCAACCCTGGCGGCCAGCATGCTTTCTGAGCCCCTTCCCCTCTGCATCCCTCCCCTCCCCGAGTGTGGGTCCTCACCCCTCGTGAATCCTGGCCTCACCAAGCACCCACCCTAAGGAGCCCCAGGACTCTGGCTCGCGCCCCTCACCCAGCCCAGCCCCCATCTGCCCTTCGGCTGTCATACGCCCCTTGCCGAAACCAAGCCCCTCGAAGGCCCTGGTCCCCAGCTGCAGCACCTGTCTGAACGGAGTGCAGCTCACTGAGCCCCCCTCCCATTACCCACCTCTGCACAATCCTGCCACTGACCAAGCCCCCAGCCCTGGAGGCCACCCGGTCCAGGCCTTCCCTGAGCCTTGATGGCTGCCCCCCCATGGGGCCCTGTCCTTTCTGGGCTCACCCTCGTGGAAGCTCCATAATCCCTTTCCCCGGGTCTGACCCCACACACCCCGGCCCAGAGCCCCTAGCCGCACCCCCTGAATCTGCGTTCCTCATGGAGTCCAGTCCTCCAAGGCCATGACCTCTCGCCGGTTGGTCTCCTCTGCCCATGGGGCCAGATGGCCTTCTCCAAGCCCCTGTGACACTTATCTCCTTGAAGACAAGTCCAGTCAGCTGCCCATGCAGCTGTCCCACCTGGGCCCCGCCCCCTGCAGATGCCCCTACCCCTAATCGACACGGGCCCACCCAGCCCCAGCCCCTTCTGGAAGCCTCCGTTCACGCTACACCCTCTTGTTCTCTCTCACACTTGCCCCCAGCCGACCTCCTCTTCCCACAGAAGTCCCAGCGGGTCCCGTCCCGTCTGCAAGGGAGAAGCCGCAGCCCTCTCTGCCTCTCCCGACCCGGCGTCCCGCCCCCCCACCCGCCCACCGCGCAAGTGCCCTCCCAAGCCCCGCAGAAGCCGTCCTCCTCAGAGGTCCTGATGCCCCCTGAGCCCTTCCTCATAAAGGCCCCTCTCCCTGCCCCCCCCGCGTCTCCACGGCCCTCTGTCCTCTGAGCCTGGGTCTGCCCAGCAGCCCCTTTCTCCTCGAGTCCTTTCCCGCCTGTGCCCCGTCCCCTGCCAGCCCCCTGCTCTCTGAACCTCTGCGTGCTAGGAGTCCGAGGCCCCCGCTGAACCCTGCACGGGCCCCACCCCCTCCCCAGCCCTTCCCTTCCCAGCCCCGCCCCCTGGCCTCAGGGGTGCCCAGCCTCAGCCATGGCCTCAGGAGCCCCTGGGACCTCCAGGAGGTTGATAAAATCCTCTGTGAGTGGGAGGGGTCCCCAGGGCCACCCTCCATCCTGGCCATGCCCTGGGCAGAGCCTGGCCCAGACCAAGAGCCCAGGGGCATGAAGGCGATGGGGACCATAGGGGGACCAGGATTCTGTCCCTCCAGCAACACCCAAGGGCCTCACTTGGGGGCACCTGGACCCCCAGGCGTCAGGAGGAGCCTGACAGAAGGTGTGGCCCACCTCTGGTCTGCATGGTGCTCCGCCAGGTCCCCTGGGGCCCAGCACTGGCTCACCTGCCTCGGGCCCTGCCCCACGCTGCTCTGGGCAAGCCAGCTGCAGGCAGCGGCCAACAGGGCTGGTCTGCGCGCGAGTCCCCCTGGCCCCCAGGGGCCTGCTCCAGACTGCCTCGAGGCTGCCCCCTTGCGAGGGCCCCAGAGCCCAGGGCGGTTGGGGAGGGGGCGGCTCTAGCCCCCACTAGCCTCCACCCAGTAGGTGAAGTAAGGGGCTCGATTTGGGTGGGGTGTCCTCCAGGCAAGGACACACGGCAGGAAATGCCCACTAGAGCCTGCCGGGCGGATGCAGAGCCCAGCAAGCCAGCCAGGACGGGTGCCAGGCGCTGAGCTGGGCGCCCCGTGGGTACCCGCCAGGCCCCTGGCGAGGGGTGCCCTGTGATTACCCATCTTCTAAAGACAGACTGGAGGCTGAGGGTTGGATCCTAGAGGCTGGACCGGAGCCTGGAGCCCGACTCCAGGGCCTGGAGGAACCGGACCAGCAGCCCCAGGCAGCCACACGGTCGGTGCTCTGGGCAGGAGTGCCAGCACCTTGAGGCCTGGCCAGCAGGGGCCCGAGGCTCAGCCTGTGCTCCCCGAGCCTGTGCACTTGCCACGGCGCGGGGGCAGGGGCCAGGGGCACCAGCTCTGTCCCCACATCCCAGGGAGGGGATTGGGCGGCCTCCCAGCTGGGGGTCAGAGCTGCATGGCAGCAGCCTGGCGGGTGGGAGGCCAGGGCAGCGGCAGAAGCCGAGCAGGGGTGAAGGGAGGGCTCCTTCCGGCCGCTCTGCCTCCAGGCCGCTCTGCGCACAAAGGCTTGGATGACTCGGTCCTTCGCCAGGCCCTGCGGCTGTGCCTGCTCCCTGCTCGGATTTCAGGTGCAGAAGACACTGGGCACGTGTCACGAGCCTCCCCGCAAGTCTGATTGGGTGTTTGTTAAAGGCGCCAGCGAGGGCTCAGCGCTGGGGTGCAGTCTCCTGCCCCCTCGGGCCGGGCCAACAGCAGCCACCGCACTGAAGGCTGAGTGGGCGCCAGGGCGGTGACAAGAGAGGTTTGCCAGTTTTCTTACGGGGGGGGGGGGGGGGGGGGGGGGCTCCCGGCCGTAGTCCAGAGCCCCTGACCCCAGGGGAATTCTGTCCCAACAGCTCACAAACTCCTTCTCATCCCTTAAACCTCCTGGCCTGCAGCTGCTTCTCGGTAGATTATTCTGAGCACCCCTCCGGCAACTCCTGACAGGCCAGACCGCTAGGCAGATCACGCCACCGGAGGGAATTCCTAAGAAGGATCCCGGGCCCCGAGATCCCAGGACCCCGGCTGGCCTGCCGGCTGGCTTTGCTCAGATGCCGCGTTCAGGCGCCGGCTGGGAGCCCAGGGGAGGCGGGTGCCCTTCCCATCAGCCCCACGCAGGCGCCTGTCCCAGGCCCAGACAGGGTGTGCAGGGGAATCAGGAAGTCCAGAGCCTACCCGCCGCAGCCGCCGGTGGAAAGTGAGGCGGGCGCTCACCTGGACCGCCCCCTGAAAACCGTGCCCAGTGTAGACAGTGGCAACCTTGCGGCCCTGCCCCGTGGCCTCCCGCCAAGGCCACATCCGGCCGGTCACTGCCCTAGGCCTCAGTACAAGCCAGCTCCCTGCCAGTGACAGCTCAGCCCCAAAGCTGGGTGGGAAACCAAAGCCTCCAGGGCCCCTTGTGCAGGGCAGGGGGCCCTGGGGTCTGGGGGCCAGGATATCCCCAGAGGCCGCCCCCGCCCCAGCCCGGCTGTGAGTCAGCCCTCCGGAACAGCCTCATAGCGGCCACACCAGCTCCTTCCCACGTCCGGCTTGTCACCAAACACAAAATACACCAACACAGCAAAGAGGCCCAAACAACTGTATTTTCACATCAACACGGGCTCCCAGCCGCCAAGGGCGGGGCGGCTGCAGAGCGGGGGCACAAGCCCCCTCCCCTCTTGCCCCAACCCTGGGCCCAAAAGTGCCCTCCAGGACGGGGTCAAGCCCCAGGATGGCCCCACATGCATCACAAGGCTGGCTTTTGTCCCCGAGCCCCGACCCTTCCAACCCTTCCTGCTTGTCCTCGGGCCCTGGCTGGTCGTTCCCCGACGGGCCCACGCAGGACCCCAGGCCGGGCGGGGGAGACCCAGAGAACAGGCTGGCAGAGGACGTGGGCTCCGTCCAGAGGTCCTGCCCGGGCAGCCGGCCCCCTAAGGCGCAGGCTAGGGAGGGGGTGGAGGACCACCCCGGGGGGACGGGTCCTGGGATGTACAAGGGGCCGCTGCCCTACTGGGCAGGGCCCCCCAAGTTAGTGCAGGGGCCCCACGCTCTGGCCAGCCCACGGCTGCTGCCCCACACCTGGCCCTCCATCAGACAGACGGACGGACGGACGGATGGATGGGCAGGCGGCATTTCTGCAACCGGGGCTGGGTAAAACCACAGAGCAAAAGGGCAGGCCTGTGAGGCCGGCGCCCGCAGAGCTGGGCTGAGTGTGAGTGTGAGCGTGAGTGTGTATGGCGGGGGTGCCGGGAGGGCGCAGGTGGGCGGCCTCCTCCGACTGGACTCCCTCCTCTGCGGCAGGGGCGGCGGCTACGGCCTGGTGGCCTCGGCCAGGCCCACCCGGTTCTCGTCCCGGTCGAACACGGTGTAGTAGCGGCCGATGAAGACGTCACCCAGGATCCAGAGCGGCCCGCCGGGCGGGGGGATGTCCATGCCCATGAACCCGCTCAGGCAGATGGTCTTCCCGCCCTGCGACACCTGGGACAGACACGCTGGTCAGCACGCGGCCCGAGGACCTGCCCCGCCCCGCCCCACCCCGCCGACCTTGAGCGTGTAGTCCCTCGCCCCCACCCCCGCCCTGCTGACCTTGAGCGTGTAGTCCTGGGAGGAGAGCTTGTACCCCTTGCCTCCCAGCTTCAGAGTGACCTCGGGCAGCGCGGACACCTTCTCACAGGGGATCATGTACTGAGGGAGGGAGGGAGGGAGGGAGGGAGGGAGGGAGGGAGAGAGGGGCTTAGGTGTGGCGGGGGAGGGGCGGGGCGGCTGAGGCGTCCTGCCCACACTGCCCGGCCCGCTCACCTCGCCCTGGATCAGCGGCACGGCCCCGATGGCCTTCTGCAGCTCGCGCACCTCGTCCACGGGGCCCACCACGAGGGAGGTGCCCGTGTCCACGATGGCCTCGCAGCCCCCCTTGCACAGGGTCAGGCTGGTGCCCACGTCCACCCTGAGGGGGAGGAGGTGTGAGTCCCCTGTCTGGGCTCAGGGTGGGCCTGGGCGGGGAGGGCTGTCCAACCACCAGGGCCACCGGGAGCCCCTGCCTCTTCAGAATCTCTTCCCCTCTTTGGCTCAAGAGGCCAAGAGCAGGTTAACGGCCACCTTTGAAATCACGGGCAGAACAGGGCCCGAGCCCAGGGGCCAGCAGCTCAGCTGGGGGCCAGGAGGTGGGGCAGGCGCTGGGGCCAGTGGGGTGCGGGGTGCAGGCCGGCCCCGTCTCCACCACCCCCATGGCAGCCTCCCAGCTCCGAGGGCTGGAGCCACCCAGAGGCCGCTGCAGGGGGCCTGGGGGCTCCCGCACTCACTGCTCCATGTGGACCTGCCAGTACGCCTTGCGGGTGACGTTGAGGTAGGAGAGGGGGCCCTTGTAGTACTTGGAGTCCGTGCCGCCCAGCATCAGCTCGCCCCCTGGCTGCGCGTTAGGGTCCCTGGGAAACGAGAGAGGAGGGGGTCAGCTGCCCTTGCCCCTCGAGCACGGGGGACCCCTGCCGCCCCCACAGCACGCACCCGGCCTGAGCACCGGCTGCCACAGGCACCGGCTGGAGCCAAGTCAGAAGGGGTGGGGGTGGGGGTGGGGGTGGGGGGCGATCTCCGAAGCATGACTGGAAGGATGAGGGGAGGGGACTTCCTTCTCCCCCAGGGGAAGGGCTCCAATCCCACACCGTGTGTGGCCTGCAGATCTGCACAGCCAGCCCGCAGAGGCCGCTGGTCTGCCAGCTGCAATCGGCCAGGGTCAGGGCGGCGGGCAGCCGGGGAAGTAAACGCAAGGAGCCTATGGAGGGGATGCTCCTCTGCGTGAAAAACACAAACCAGGGAGGTCTTCCAGGAGGAGGCACCGAAACCAGCTCATTCCTGCCCTGGGGCCTGTGCACCTGCTGTTCCAGGGACGCTCTCCGTCCACATCCTCACCCAAATGCCCCACCCCTGCATCCCTGCTCGGGCTGCCCCCTCCCTCCTCTAGACTTAGTGTTTGAGATCACGTGGTCTTCTTCCTGGCCTGGCCAAGCCCTGCCCTCCCTCTACTGCCCGTGGCCTCCAGCCCTCCCTCCGTCAGCTCTGAAATCCCAGTGTGGAACCCAGACCAGGCCTCCCGTCTGCACCCCACCGCAGTCCTGCCCCGCCTCCCTGCCCGTGTCCATCTGCCCCACCCAGGGAGCCGCGGCACCGTCCATCCCTGGGCCCGAGGCGTTGCGGGGAAAGACCAGTCTCCGGGGCGGCTCTGCCCGGCCCAGCTGCTGGGATTCCCACCGACCAAGCAGGGGACACGCAGGGGTGAGGCTGAGGGCGGAAGCTGGCCGGGAGGGGAGGGTTCTGGGCTGGCATTCAGCCAGACGGGCAAGTGGGCTGGTGGGGTGAGGGCTCCGGAAGGGGTGTGTGGCGTGGTGACGCCCAGCTCCGGCGCACCCCCGTCGGGGCCTCTAGTGCCGCCCTGAGGGGAGACGGAGGCCCCTTCCCAGGGATCCTGCATGTAGGTCACCCCACCCTCCCACGTGGGGCGAGGGCCACTGGGATGGGGGCCTTCTCTGTGGCCGGAATGGACACACTCGGGGCTGCTCCAGACGGTGTGATGGGGGCCGCTGTCCACACCGAGACTGACTCATGGCCCCTCCAGCAGCATCTGGCCCTCCAGGCCCAACAAGGGTCACCTCCCACGGAAAGCCCCCAGACCCCTCACTTCCAGAGGCCCTGCTTCAGATGGGGGCCCGTGGCTTTACGCCCTCTAGGTCATCAGTGACCCAGGGGCCGTGTCTTGCATCATCACACCCAGGGGAGGCTGGGCTGACTGACCCGGGAGCAGCTGCTGTGACCCCTGAGCAGGGTCTGGCTCCCTGCAAGGAGGAGGCCCACTGAGCAAGATCTGGGACCCACGGCCCGAGCGGCTCCCGGTGCAGAACCCTGGCCACACGGCCAGTCTGGAGCGCTGCCTGTGGGCCTGATCAGAGGCCAGAGGCCAGAAGCTGCAGCCTGACGCCTGAGGGCGGTCAGGGGGGCGGCGGCCTGAGCCCCCTGCATTCAGCCCCGCTGAGCTGGGAAGGGGGTGAGGAGCAGGGATTAGAGGGCGCCAGGCCCTCCCCTCCCACCTGTTCAGGTAGAAGGAGAAGATGTTCTTCTCCACCAACTTCTGCTTCATCAGGTTGTCAAAGACGGGGACCACGTCGTCGACCGAGATGCGGGGGTAGGCCATGCCGAGAATGCCGTCGAACTTGGCCGCGATGAAGGTGATGCCCGGCTGCTTGATGGCCTCCCCGAAGGTCTGCCTCTCCACCTTGACTCCGACGGTCGTCGGAGGACGGCAGGGTACCTGCAGGCCGGGGGCGGGGGGGGGGTCAGTGGGCCACCCCAGGTCCTGTGTGTGCGCTCTGGGCCACGGTGACAACACCAGCTCGGTCGCTGCCCACCACTGCACACCTGGGACTTGGGCCAGGCAGAGGGCCCAGGAGAAAGGGCTGGCGGCCCCGGGTGGGGCAGGGACATGGGGTCCGCGCTGGTCAGGACAGCGACTGAATCAGAGTCAGCACAGAGGGCTGGGGTCCCAGCTTGGCTCTGGCCTCCTGGCCCCTACCCACCCCCACCCGCCCAGGCCTGACCCTGCCCTTGGGCTACTGGAACCCCATGACCCAACCCCATGACCCAACTCAGCAGACTTGAGGCCACGCCGCGCACCCCCCCCGCCCCCTGGGCAGGCAGCTGACAGAGAGACAGACAGGATGTGGGAAGGAACGGCTGTTCGGGGTTGACAACCTCTGACACCGGGAACAGGGGAGCGTGTCAGGGGACATCCTGTTTGGACCCACAGAGACCAGGAGGAGGAGACCCCAACAGAGCAGGCGGGGGGAGGGGCAGGGCCCCGCAGGAAGGTCCCCAGCTGCCACGGCCCACCCTGCGTCCTGACAAGGGACAGACAAGCAGGCCCCCATGTGGCCCTGGCGCAGCCATCGCCTCCGGTCCGGCGGGGCTGCAGGTGCCCAGACGGACCCCGGCGTTCTCCAGGGGCCCCCCCGCTCCCCAGCCAGCCGCAGGGACCCTGTCCTCAGGCACCCAGCCGGCCCCTCAACCCCAGGGCATCGGAACGGAAGCCCGCCCGCCCGCCCTGACTGGCTCCCCGCCCGGCTGCCGGCCGCACGCCCGGGAGGAGGCCTCCCCCTTAATCAGTCGCTCACCTGCCCCCCGTGCCCCGGGGCTCCACGGGTGTCAAGACCCTCACTGTCCCACTCTCCCCTCCAATGCCCAACGGCCCTGCCTGGGGCTGGGGCCCCAGGGAGCAGCCTCGCCACGGACTTACCGACACGGTGTCCTGGCTCAGGTACCCGGACAGGCTGCCCGAGCCGTAGTGGATGTCGAAGGACGTGCCGTTCTTCACGTACGTGCTGGACTTGCCGCTGTTGTATTTGTTGTGCAGCCCTGTGCCACGGAGAGCCCGTCAGCCCGCCGCCCGGCCCCCCCCCCGCCCGCGCCGGGCCCCCCGCTGACGCCTGGCCCCCCCGCCCCCGCGCCGGGCCCCCCGCCGCCGCCCGGCCCCCCACCAGCCTTGGCCTCGGCCACTGGTGCCCTGGCCTGGCTTGCCCCACCCTCGGCCACCCAGGCCCTGCCTAGGCGAGAAGCAAGGCCCCTGGAAAGTGGGGCGCCCTGGGGGGACAGAGAGGCCAGGCCCGCCTGGTGTGGCCGAGAGGTGGAGGTGCAGCATCGCCCAAGAGGGGCTGAAGCAGGGCCACCAAAGGCCCAAGGCCTGGCCTGCTGGCCCCGCACACGGGGCTGGACCCAAGATAGGGTGGCAGCCCCAGCACCCAGGGGAGCGTGTGTGCCTGGCGGGGGGGGGAGCGGGAGGTGGCAGGCGGGCCACGTGCCCGCACCCTGGGGCCCTCCTCTCCCTGCCCGCTCTCCGCACGAGGCAGGGCGGTGACTCACAGCAGGCGATGTCCAGCAGTTTGCAGTGGATCGAGGGGACCCACAGGTTGGCAGAGCCGGTGTCGAAGACGACTGTGAAGCACTGTGGGGGCGTCCCGATGCCGATCTCCCCGTAGTACTGGGCCTGGGCAGGGGAGCGGGTCCATCAGGCCTGTGGCTTGGGGGGAGGGGCATCCCACATCCCCACCAGGCCGCAGAGGGTCCACTGGTTGTCTTGGGAAGGCCCAAGCCAGAGGAGGCAGCCGGGGTCCGCCCCTCCCAGCCCTCCCCAGCCCCTGGTCCTTGTACCCATGGGCACCCTGGGTCCCCAGACCCCTGGAAAACCCCTATGCCTGACCATCGAGGGGCCCAGAAGAAGAGACTTCTTCCCTAGGATGGGAGCCAAGTCAGGGCTTGCCTCTGCGACCTCAGTTCCCACCCTGCCCTTGCCCCCCTGGGCCAAGCCTGGAGGACTTCTAGGCAGAGGCATGTGGACGGCCAAAGAGAGGAGGTACACCCTGGAGACTGTCAGTGCTGGCTCAGAGTCCTCACTGCCTAGACGGCCTGCCTTCTCTGCTCTGGGCCTCAGTCTCCCCATCTGTGCACAGGGGAGGAGGGTGACCTGGGAAGTCCAGGGTGCTGACCCAAGGCTCAGGTGAGCATGAAGGGGGCCGGAGCCTGAGAGGGAAACCTCGTCTTTGACGCTCTCGTAGGTCAGAGGACACGGCTGCTTGGATAGGAGACACGAGCCTGAGGCCCCCTGGGCCCCCCGTTCCCCTGGGAAGGAAGAGGGAGCCTAGGCCAGAGGCCACCACGGGATTCCGGCTCCCACCGCTGCTGCCTCATGACCAAGCAGAAGTGTCCAGTCGTGAAGGGCTGGGGGATGACTCAGCGAGTCTCCGCGTGTGCATGTGCGTGTGTGTGTGTGTGCGTGCCCGGAATGGGGATCAGGAGCCGGTCAGCCAGCACCCACCCCCCCACCAGCCCAGTCACATGCCCGTGAGGCCACAGCTTCCTGGCACTGCTGGGGCTCTGGCCAGAGACGACAAAGGCCACAGCCACCTTGCCAACCACAGGTGGGTAGAGGCTGGATGGCAGCAAAGAGCGAGGTCCCCAGGACTTGGGGCCGGAGATGCCACAGGATGCCCACCCGGGCAGCCCCGGAGCGCCAGGCTGGGGCCCAGAACCGGACCCCAGAGGCGGGACCAGCCAACGCGGCTCTGGCACTGTGTGGCCTGCAAAACACCCCAGCTCCAAGCCTGTCTGCCCCTCCGAGCAGGGCCGGCTGCTGCCCAAGGAGGAAGAAAGTAAGGAGGTCGCCGTGGTACCAGGCCTCCTGGCCAGACAGGCACAAGCACAGAGGCCCCAGAACAGTTAGTGACGCCTGGGCGGCCGGCCCCGATGACCCACAGGCCCCCACAGCCTCTCAGGGCTCGATTCAGGCTCCTCTGCGCCCCACTGACGGCCCCGGGCCCAGCTCGCCCAGCTCAGGAGGGTGACATGGTCCCCCAATCCCACAGGCTGGCCTCGAGAACAGGGCGGCTTCTGGGGCGCCTGGGCGGCTCGGTCGGTTAAGTGTCCGACTTCGGCTCAGGTCACGATCTCGCAGTCTGTGAGTTCGAGCCCCACGTCGGGCTCTGTGCTGACAGCTCAGAGCTTGGAGCTGCTTCAGATTCTCTGTCTCCCCCTCTCTCTCTGCCCCTCCCCTGCTCATGCTCTGTCTCTGTTTCTCTCAAAAATAAATAAAAACATTTTTTTAAAATGTTTTTATTTATTTCTGAGAGAGAGAGAGGCAGCATGAGCAGGGGAGGGGCAGAGAGAGAATCAGAAGCAGCTCCAGGCTCTGAGCTAGTTGTCAACACAGAGCCCGATGCGGGGCTCGAACTCACGAACCGTGTGATCATGACCTGAGCCGAAGTCGGATGCTTAGCCGACTGAGCCACCCAGGCGCCCCAAATAAAAACATTTTTAAAGCTTTATACAAAGAGACACCTGGGTGGCTCAGTCGGCTGAGCACTCAGTATCATCTCAGGTTATGATCTCACAGCTTGTGGGTTCAAGCCCCGCGTCAGGCTCTGTGCTGACAGCTCAGAGCTTCAGATTCTGTGTCTCCCTCTCTCTCTGCCCCTCCCCTGCTCGTGCTGTCTCTCTCAAAAATAAACAAAAACACTTTAAAAATTAAAAAAAACAAAAACAAAAAAACAAGGTGGCTTCTGAGGTCAGTGAAGGTAAGCAGGACACAGGGGGAAAGGTCATGGAGGTGCCAAGGGCACCCCAACCCGCCCTCTCACCCCCACACGACCAGGAGCTGCAGGGGAGCCGTGCAGACCCCCCAGGAGAACACAGTGGGGGTCCTCTACCTGGCAGGGGCGGCAGGAGGGGCCGGGCAGGGGAGGGTGTGGCCGAGCAGAAGCCCCGTCCCCCACTGGGCAGGGGAGTTGAGCAAAACCGCTGTTTGCTACGGAGGATTTCACGGTGGCTTGTCAGTTCCATCAAATCAGCGTTTGCTGCCAACCCGGCCCCCGCCCCACACAGAGACCCCCATACTCACGTCCAGGTAGTTCTTAAGCACCTCAGGAATGGGCCCCTCAGTCGCAGCGGGCACTCCCTGGGCATACTTTGAGATGGGGCCCTTGGCAAGGAGATCCTCCACGGAGCCCCCCAACTCCGACATGGTCCGGCGGACAGATGTGAACTTGTGCAGCGGGATCCTGTCAAGAGGAGGGGGCTCGTCAGGGCTCGCTACCCCCCCGGGACCGCTCTGCACCCTCAGCCACCAGGGGCTCCATCCGCCCCCATCCCTGTCCCCGCTTTGTGTCTGCTCTGGCCTCTTCTGGGACAGTGGCCCGAGGGGTCAGTTAGGGCGTCAGTGTCACAGGTGACCATTCACCTGGCCCTCTGATCTGCTGCTCTCCACATACGCCACGCAGAGACGGCCCCCACTTCCCCCGTGTGGCCTCTGGCTGGCTGTCTCCTGACCGTCACATGGGACTCAAGGCTGCCACCTCTAAAAAGCCCTCCTTGGCCATCCCCCGTGTGACCGTTCCCCCCCGGGGCCCTCCCCAGCGCTGTAGTGAATCGATTTACCCCCGATCAGTGTGCTGCCCCGACCACTAACCCCAGGGGGGCAAGGATGGCCCTGGCATGCCGGGTCGTGCTCCCGGGCCCGCCTTCCTTGGAGATGCCCCAGGGCATCCCCGCGGTCTGCCTGGGCACAAAGAGCCAGAGCCGGGGTTGAGGTCCTTCCAGGTCCTTCCCAGGCCTGGATCCTGGGCTCCTCTGATGGGGCAGGGGTGGGGCAGGAAAGCAAACCTGAGCAAACTCACACCTGGATGAGGTCCTCCCAGCCCAGGGGACCTGGGAGTTCAAGGTCACGGCCGGCCCTTCCCAGCAAGCCAAGGGCGTGCTGCAGGAAGAGGGGACTCTTGCCTAAGACCTGGGAGGCTGGGAAAGCCCAAGGTTCTTGCCTGGGGGGAGAGGGGCACGCCCTCCAGTAACCCAGGAAACAGGCGCCAGGCAGCCCCAGAGGACGGCGAGGAGGTGTGAGGGGCTCTGGTTCAGCTGCCCAGGCCCACGCAGCCCAGGCTGGTCCCCCACAGCCACGCATCCCTGGAGAGGAGGCCTGTGGGTGGTCAGGGGAGGCTCCGTTTGGGGCTACGCTCCTCAGGCCACAGCCCATGGTGCAGCCCTTGAGCAAGATTGAGTCCCACTCGGCCCCCAGCCAGCTCCCACGGCCCAGTGACCTCACCCACCTGCCCACTGGCAGAAGGCCCACAGCTGAGTTGGAAGGATGCCTTCCCAGGCCCCGGGGGCAAGGGGGGTGCAGGAGCAGAGGAGGGGCCCACCGCACCCCTCCCCGAGCGGGGGGCTGGGGCTGCCTCGCAAGAGTGGGGGTGGGGGGTGTGGGGCGTGGAGGCGCCAACCTCAGCCTGGTGGGCCCACACAGCACAGTCCTGATCCAGGCTTGGGGTTGCTGACCTCATCCAGTACCTGGGGGCGGGCGGGGGTGGGGGTGGGGGGGCAGACCCCTAGAGACCCGAGGAAGGCGTGGTCCTCGCTAGGGCAGAGGGTGCAGGTGGGGGACCCTGCGCCCGGTGCCAGCTGTGCCACTCACCTGGACCCTCTCCTTACACTAACTCCCTACTGTATCCGAGACCCTCCGGCCCCCAGGGTCCAGAAGGTCTCCTGGGCAAGAGCCCAAGGCCCAGACCAAACGCGACCAGCCCAGTTCAGAGCCAGCAAAGGGGGTGGGGGTGGGAGGCGGGCAATGACGAGCCAGGTGCACCTGGGCCCCCGGACTTCCACACAGCTGGGCCTTGAGAACAGGCACCGTGGCCTCAGCTGTCCCGGGGAGGCTGGGTCGGCCTGGGTCTCCGCCATCCCTCCTCCCGCCGCCCCTGCCCCCCCAAGCGGACCCCACGGTGGCGGAGAAGAAGGGTCGCCAGGCTGGCGGGGGACGGTGGGTGAGGCCCTGCAGGAGGCGGCGCGGGGCGTACGGAGGGCACCGGGGGCGCGGAGTGCGCGGGAGGGTGCACGCGGGAGGGGTACGGGGGGTGGTGCACGGAGGAGCAGTGGTGCCCTGAGCGGTCGCGGGGTGCACGGGGTCGCAGGGCCTCACCTCACGAGCGCGGCGGCGGGCGCGGCCAGTAGGCCGAGAACGAGCAGCAGCATGCTGGGGGGCTGCATGGTGGCGGCGACCGGGTCGGAGCGGAGCGCCCAGAGGTCGAACGCTTATAGCCTGGATGACGGCGCACTTGGCAAAGTCAGCTGACCCGACTGTTTGCACCCGGACGGGTCACGCGGGCCTCTGCCGGCGTGCGCGGGGCGGGGTCTGGGCGGGGCGATGTCGGCCGGGCCCCCGCCGGGCCCGCGCACGGCGCTCGGGGACGCGCACGCCGGCCTCTTCGCTGGGGGTGCGCGCGGGCGGGGGCGCGGTTGCGGGCACCGGCCGCAGGGCCGGGGGACCCTGGGCGCCCGGGGAGCCTCCGGAGCCCGGGGCTCTGTCGCTGCCGTGGACACGCGGGCTGTGCGCCGCGAGGCCTCGCAGCCTTTCCCAGGCCCCTGCTCCACCCTCCTGCCCCCGCGTTGCACCTGCCGCACCCCGCCCCCTCCGCGGCCCCCATCCCCCACCTCCCCCCCCCCCCCCGCCACCGTTCGCTGCTTCCACGCGCAGCCTTCTTTCAGCCCCGGGGGGCGTCCAGACCTCATGACAAGTGTCCCCAGGCCCAGAGCGGCACCAGCCTGACCCTAGCAGGGCCGCCCTGGATCCTCCTCCCTCTGGGGGCCCGCTGTCCCTTTCCAGGCCCCACCTCCAAGGATGCGGCCCGGTGGGATCAGATAAGGCACCGGGTCCCCCATCTTGAGCAGCTCGGGTGGCTTTCCCAGCCTCAGAGGGCTCAGAGAGTGAGTCCCTCGCTGGGCCAGCCCTGTCCTGCTGAGGCCACAGTGACCCACTGACCTCCAGGACCTCACTGAGTCACCCAGTCGTGCCCAGCTTGCTGTGGGAGGGGAGGGCCAGATCCGCTGCTCCACGGAGCCCCAGGCGTGAAGGAGGAAAGGAGTTGGGATGGGTCATTTCAGAGAGGATCCATGTCAAGAAGGAAGTAAATCAGGGGAATGTGCTGGAAAGTGACCATGTTGAGAGCAGGCCTCTCTGGGAAGATGGCGTTTGAGGGACTCCCTCAGGGGACTTTTGCTTGAGTGGCCCCGCCAGCCACTCACGGGGCCCCACTCACGGGGTCAGACAGGTTCTGGGGCCCACAGCAGGCAGGCCTGGCATCCCTGTCTTTTCTGTGACCCCCCGAATAAATTAGGACCCTGACCCCAGCCTGGTGGGCCCGATGGCCACAGATGAGTGACCACTGCCTTGCCTCCACGCCCGGCCGTTCCACACAGTTGACCTGGGCTCATCATCTACCTGGTTTGGTTCCAGAGATGAGGACTAAAGCCAGGAGCAAAGCAGGCAGGTGTCCCTGCCTTCCTGCCTTGTCTCTGACCCCGGCGTGGGGGTCCATCCAGGCAGGGCCCAAGCGGGACCCTTGCACCACTGGGCATTATCACCTCACCCCCTCCCCGGCCCCCCCCCCCAGGCCTCTGTCTCGGGCAGGTCAGCTGGGCTCTGGACGGGCTGGATGCCACAATCGCTTGAAGGTGGTCCCAGCTGGTGTCCCCTGGGTCCCAGTGCGCACTAGTGGACAGGACCGTGTGTGTCTCATGATGCTCAGACACGGTGTGTGAGAAAGCACACCTGTGCAGGGCCCCCGACTGCTTCTTCCACAGAGGCATTTACAAGGCCAGTGAGGCCGGCAGAGGGTGTGGACAGGAGAGGCGGTGCGGACGGTCAGAGAGGTCAGAGGTGTGACACAGCCGCCAGCCCGAGGCCCTTGGCTTTCCCCTGAGGACGGTGGGAGTCCTGCTGGCTCTGGGCGGAGAGACCGCGTTCCGTCCGTTCCGGACGCAGCGAGGGCACTGTCTCTGTGTGGCGTGTTCGCACGGCCCCCCAGCACCCAGGGCAGGCCTGGCACATGGTGGGTGCTGGACAGTGACGTGCAGGAGGGATACCTGGGTCCCCTAGATCCTGGCCTGTGCTGGCTCCTGGCTGGCTTCGGTGCTCCTCTCCCCCAGCGCTCTGCACCGTACCCCGACTCCCCACATCTCCAACACCCGGGGGAGGCTTGGGGTGGGAAGGGAGCAGGAGAGGCTGCCCGGCCCCCGGAGGGCAGTGCGGGGCTCCACCCGCAGCGGGCAGTGCCACAGGACCGTGTGGGCGGGGATCCGGGCCCGGCTGGGATCCGCGGCCGGCACCAGGCAGAGCCGTGCCCCCCGCCTTACACAGCTGCTCTGGCCCGGGGCCCTGCGTTCCCTAAAACCGTGTGGCCTGGGTCAGGTGCGAGGGTCCCCAAGAGGGCCCTGTTCCCTGCTTCCTGCCCCTGCCAAAGGCAGAGGTGCCCCCCTGCTGGGCCAGAAGCAAAGGCCCAGCACAGAGCTACAGGGCCTAGAGGCTTTTGGGCGCCCGTGACTGGGGGCCCCAAGGCAAACCTGGTGGGAAGAGGGCTCCCAAGTCGGTTCAGTGGGGGTAGGGAGGGGGGTCCCAGAAAGCTAAGCCCGGTGAAGCGTGCAGGGCCTGGTTCTGGTGTCTCTGGCTCCAGGGGGGGGGGGGGACAGGGTCCGGAGACCCTCCAGCCCGACCCTGGACTCTGGCGGGGAGAGCCAAGGCCCTGGTGGGTTGGGCAGGCCTGAGGGGGTCAGTGGAAGCCACTTCCCTTCTGTTTTTTACACTTAAAAAAATGGGTTTTTAAAATGTTTATCTTTGAGCGAGAGAGAGCGTGAACACACACTCATGAGCAGGGGAGGGGCAGAGGGAGAGGGAGACAGAGAATCTCAAGCCGGCTCCCAGCTGTCAGCGCAGAGCCCGATGCCCCGACGCGGGGCTCCAACCCACCAACTGTGAGCTCATGACCTGAGCCGATGTCAGACGCTCCACCGCCTGAGCCCCCGGGCGCCCCCAGAGCCACTTCCCTTGACCTCGTCTCCCATGCCTCACGGGTCAGCCCCTCTGGGGCCTCGTGCATTTGTCTCTCCCCTGCCCAGCGGTCCTGCCACGGGCCAGGCACCGCTCTGGGTGCGGAGGAGATGCAGGGGACAGCGCAGGGACAGGGAGGACACGCAGGAACGAGGAGGAGCCTGTGCACAGGGAGGAGCTCCCGAGGGCAGGCTGAGGGGGTGCTGGGTCAACAACCTGGGCAGGAGCAGGCTGAGCAGGGCGGTGGGGGCGAGGAGCAAGCGATGGGTGGTCCCGGGGTCAGAGGCGCCCCCCTGCTGGGTCACTCTGATGTGCAGGCACTGGACCTTGGTTTGTCTCTGACGGGGGCTGGGCCGCAGGGCCCTGTGAAGGTGCAGCGGGGGCCCTGACCGGCATCGCCCTGCTACTGTTCTGAGAGGGGGGAGGGGCAGGGTGCCAGGGGACCGGCCGGGAGGCCACGGGGCCCCAGCCTGGGCGGTACCGGGGCCGGGGCGGTGACGGAGGATGCCGTGACAATCAGTCAGATTCGGGATGCGCTTCTGAGGCGAGGCAGTAGGATTTCCCGAAGGACCGGACGGATGGTGTGTGATGGAGGGGTCAATACCGAGTCAGGGCCTGTGCAAAAGATCCAGGGGGCTGGCGTGTTATTGGCCGAGACAGGAAGGGGTGCAGGAGGAGGCGTCTGGGAGGAAGGCCAGGAGCTCGGGTGTGGAGGCATCGGGTTGAGTTCATGCCTGTCGGACAAGGAAAGAGCACGGCCGAGGCTGGAACCGAGGCCAAGGTTGGAGGCAGCCAGGGCTGCGTGTAGACAGAGATATGAGGGCCCCGGGGGCCCCTCAGCTCTGAGAGGCGAGGGAATGGGGAGGGAGCAACGCAGGTGAGACTGGGCGGCGGCAGCTGGGACGGGAGAGCGCGAGAGAGGAGAGCCTGGAAGCCAGACAGAGGCCCGTTGGAGAAGGTGGTGGCTGGCTGTGTCAGCCCGGCCAGGGACCAGGTGGGGGCTGGGACTGCACGCCGACCACTGGATTTAGCAATCTGACCTCAAGGAGAGCAGTTTCAGGGAGCGGCTGGGGTGTAGTTATAAAGATCCAGTGATGAAGACGGTGTGGTATTGACACAGAGGAGACAAGTAGGTGGCGGGGACAGGACAGTCCCACACACCGAGAAGGACCAGCCTCTCCATCGATGGGCAGGTGGACGGAAAGATGTTGATCCCTCCCTCACACCGTGCACATCAATTCCACGTGGATTACAGACCTAAACAGTTAATGGGAAATCCTTTAGGGGGAAGAAGGCAGAGGAGAACATCATGATCTTGGAATCATGAATTTCACCAACCAAGATTTGTTGTTTAAGTAGGAAACACACACAAAAAAGAGACATTGTCAAGATAAGGCAACCTACAGATGGAAGAACGTTTTTGTAAAATACACCTCTGGTCAAGGACTGATGTCCAGAATACGTGAGGAACTCCTTTTATTATGTTTACTTATATTTGCGGGGGGGAGCGGGGAGGGGTAGAGAGGTCAGAGGATCCAAAGCGCAGGGCTCAAAGTCGTAAACCATGGCGTCATGGCCCGAGCTGAAGTCGGACGCCTAACTGACTGAGCCACCCAGGTGCCCCAGAACTCTTAAAAGTCAATAGTAGAAAATGAAGAATTCGTTTAAAAATGGGCAAAGGACCTGAACAGGGGCCTCACCAAAGAAGAAACAAGATGGCAAATAAACACATGAAAAGATGCTCGAGTCAGGTAGGAAAGGCGCCTGGAAACAGCGAGATCCGCCCCCCACTTACCCGTTGGCCAAACCCCAGCCCCGACAGCACACAATGCTGGGGAGGGCGAGGAGCCACGGGAACCTTGTCCGCTGCTGGCGGGACACAGAATGGACTCGTGCTGACATCCGGTCAGGCCTTCGTGCCCCTTGCTATGGGTTTACCCAAAGGAATTGAAGACTTATGTCCACACGAAAACCTGCAGGTGGGTTTTTGTAGAAACTGTGGTTCTAATTGCCAAAGCCTGGAAGCAACCAAGATAACAGGTAGGTGGGTGCGTAAACTGTGGTCCCTTCAGCATGGAAACGGAAGGAGCTACGAACTGAACCGTAAAAAGACAAGGAGGCGTCACCTCACTCAGTGCAAGGAGCCAATCGGATGCGCGGATTGTGTGATCCCGACTTGACCATGTCCTGGAAGAGGCAAAACCAAGACAACAGGAAGCTGCCCGAGGCTGGTGGCATCACCTCAGGCCA